AATAATAGAAGCTTTAGGTAATTTAAGATCGATAGTTAGAGTAATAGCTGTATAAATGGCGTATGCTTCAGCGGAAAAAATCGAGGTGTATGACGGAAGTCTGAACATAAACTCGGCCTCCAGCTGAGGGGAGAAAACAGCCGCGCCCACATACGAACTGTGATCTACCTTGGACCCATCGGTGTAAAATAACACTGAGTCTGACGTGAGATGCTGTAATTCCTGGTTGAAAAAGGACTGAGCAGGTGGAATAGGAAAAAAGTTAGATAAATCCACTGAAGGAAGAGAAAGAGACGTATAGGGGGAGAAATGAAAGTAGAACGGAAAGAGGATCTAAAGTTTGGTAAAATAAATGAACAGTCAATAGAGGAGTGATAAGATGTCCAAATACGATTGAATATAATAGCGGCTGGAAAGCGGGCATGTAGATAGTCAATTCTGTTAGTTTCCGCAGCGGTGTCACAGAGCTAATGTAATTTGTCAACGACAATATGATTTCGCACAGAGGAGATCTTAAGGAAGTATCGCGATGTAAGGAGTCGGAATCTAAAGGAAAGGGTAAGTTCCACAGTCTCAACATAGATAACATTAAGCGGAGTAGAAATGCGGTAACTAAAACAAAGGCGAAGGGTTTGGTTTTGAACAATCTGCAGCGCACGGGATTGACTGTTCTGGGTCAAGCTAAAGATATGGGAGGAGTATTCAATCGATGCGCGTAACAAGGCCCTATATATCGTAAGGAGCATATGAGGGTGTGCTCCCCACCAAGTACCTCTAAGAGCTTGAATTATCTGGAGTGTGCGTCTGCCTTTATCGATGATGAAAGACATATGAGCCTGGCCAGACAGCCTAGGGTCCAGTAGCACGCCGAGGAAGCGAACAGTAGGAGAGGGTAAAATGGGCTGATTCTGGAAAGAGATAGAGCAGTTCATATGCATAGTAGATCTCTTATTAGAGAAGATCATTAGCCGCGTTTTAGGCCGTGAGATCTCGAGGCCGCGCTCCTGTAGAAAGACTTCCAGTCCCCGAAGGGAAAGTTCCACAGATAGTAATGCCGACATGGTATCTTCTGATGAAGAGAAAATAACTATATCGTCGGCAAACTGAAGGAGTTCAGTGTCCGGATGAAGCGCATCATTTACACCTCTTAAGTAGAGGTTGAAGAGCGTAGGGCTAAGAACAGAGCCTTGTGGAGTGCCTTTAAACGAGGTTCTGGGCTCAGAGATAGTACCCTGGCTAATGAACTGAACCGTACGAAGAGAGATGAGGTTGGAAATGAAAGATAGTAGAAGCGGAGGGAAGTCTAAATCTCGAAGATCTTGTAGGAGAATATGAGGTAGAACATTGTCGAAAGCCGACTTAATGTCGACGAAGACCGCTACCGTAGCTTGCTTGTTTAG